AGTTGCTCCCTTAACGAGCGATATTTCGCATAACGAGTTTCGCAGAAAGGGGAAGTCCCTTTTTCCTGACATTCATTTGTGAGCCGGGGCTTCCGCGCCCATGCATTAGTCCAGTGGTTCTCAATCTGTGGGTCGTGACCCCTTTGGGGGGTAGCGCGGCCCTTTCCCAGGGGTCACCTTAGACTATCTGAAAACACATATTCTTACAGCTATGAAGTAGCAACGAAAATAATTAGGTTGCTGGGGGGTCGCCAAGACACCAGAAACTGTATTAAAGGGTCGCGGAACTAGGAAGGTTGAGAACCATTGCATTAGTCTGTGTTTAGCACTCGGTCTGTTAGCATATTGTTTTCGTGTGTGATCACCAGTTTTTATAAATTTTGTATTTAGGCGAATACAAGACAGTATTCGTATTTCTTTTATGTGTAATAACCTGTGCTAAAAGGTCTTCGAAAAAACCCACATAAAAAGACAAGCATAACAATGCTGTGAGTAAGAGTCTGGAACGAATATATATATATATATATATTTGCTGGCATCCGTCCGTCACAATGTGACGATGGAGTGGGCTTCGTAGGACGAAATCCACATAGCCTGGGATTATTATACTTGAAGGATTATAAGCTGGTTCCCAACAGCAAATCGCCCCTCTCGCCGCCGCTGGGTAACCCAAGGGAATATCATTGGATGATACAGCTTGGCACCAGTGACGTCGCAGGAGTTGTCGGAATGTTTCATTGTATCAATGTTATCCGCCTTTCGTGACTCCATCTCCGGGTTTGATTTCAGAGTTTCCTTCTCTTAGATGAGTTGCCGTCCAAGGTTAACGAGTCCCATCTACCCAGGGTGCTGGTGGTGTTTTTGCTCTAGCTGGAATTGAACTCCAGACCACCAACTTGAGATTTGCTCAGTTTANGAGAAAGGAGGGGGGGGGGGCAAGTCACGACAGGTTCCCGCTGTACACCCAGAGAGAAAAGTTTTCAGAAATAAAGGTAATATATGATTTCAAAAAAAAAAAAAACAGCAAAATTTTCATTTTGTTAAACATTTGTGTAAAAAGTAATAAACCCACCTTAATGCTCAGGTAACACTATTTTGTGTTACACCTTAGTGCGTTCAAAAAGAAATTTGACGAAAATTTGATCGTGTGACCTGAGCATGAACCTATTAAAATGAGGAACCAATCAAAATAAAATAATGTCATCCTGCTTAAAAAATATAGTATTTATAAAAAGGCAATTTTACCACCAAGGAACAATTTACAATTAATGTTGTAATCTATACCTTTTCTACAAAACATATTTTTATTCTCTTTATGTTTCTGGTAAAACATGAAAATATTTAGGAAAGTAATTAGCATACATGTGTTTTATGACGGCCATCGTTTTGTATTGAAATATTATGTAGGCCTATATTTTTTTAGTTCATTTATTTGTGAAGGAGTCTGACAAGATAAATAGTTTAAATAATTAAAAAAAAAAAATTAAAGCAAAAATATTAATATACAACTTAATGTATTACATGTGTACAAACACAACAAGACCAAGAACCACCAAATTTCTGTTAATCGCCGATTAAATGCAGAACGATGGAAAAACTAAATTTTGGATATGCGCAAAAATGCATCACTGCATTCTAAATGTATCTTAGATTATCTGTGAAATGCCTCATTGACCATCTCCACAGAATACGACTCCCACACACTTGCGTTTGAGAGCCGCCAAGTGCCCCTCTCCCCCCCCCCCCCCTTTTTTTTTACGCCAATCACTGTGAAAGTACGGGAATGAACCTCAATTAGAACCAAGGGAACACCACGTGCCACACCACAACCTCAGTGACTTCAGGCTACCACGTGCCACACCACAACCTCAGTGACTTCAGGCTACCACGTGCCACACCACAACCTCAGTGACTTCAGGCCATGTGTCCCTAGTTATCAAGCTGTTAGATTCCCCCTCCCACCCCCACTCCTGATATGTCCCCTCCTTAGATCAACTTTTCTGAAAGAAACCCTGATTATCAGGTGTACGTCGAACTGTAAACCTCCAACCCCCCCCCACACACACACACATGCACACACACACACACACTACTTTTTGGGTCGGTGATCCTGGTCGTTCAGTGGCGTAGCTAAGGTAAGTAAGTGCCGCCCTGGATGGGCCAAGATTACCCCAAATTGTCTTAAAGAAACACTGCACATGCGTCTGTGTGTTCGCGTGTGTGGTGTTTAAATTGAAGATTGAATGGTTGAAAGGTTTTATTAACTTGCAATACAAAGAGTGCAATCGACCGTTCTCACACATTTTTTTTTTATTCGTAGCTTTCCATATGAGTTTACTTAACCTACTGCTTTTTTTTATAACGTTGGGCGAGTTGGATTTTCTAATGATTAAAAAAAACAATTAATATTTTGCCTACAACGATTTGTGAATAATGCGAAATAATCCCAACACTATCACTTATTGGAGGCTATGCCATTTCTAAAAAAAGGAACAAAAAAAAAAAAAAAAAAAAAAATAAACAAAAAAACCCCCAAAAACAAAAAAAAAAAAAAAAAAAAAAAAAAAAATTAATATTTTGCCTACAACGATTTGTGAAAAAAGCGAAAAAAACCCAAAACAATCACTTATTGGAGGCAAAGCCATTTAAAAAAAAAGAAACAAAAAAAAAAAAAAAAAAAAAAATCAACAAAAAAGCCCCTGAAATCCTCGTACAAAATATGAACAATAAAAGAAATTCCCGTTCTTAGTTTTCTTAAATAATTTCTGGGTACGTGTGTCATTTAAAATTTGGCGCCATTTTGTTAGCGTTGGAAGCCATTTAAATAAAATTAAAAAATCGTGCATTTTCAGAGATGAACTACTGTATTAACTAGGAATTCAGTCTAGCATGTTAATTCCTTGCGATAACAAGGTAAAGAATAGTTTAAAACCAATTCTTGCCACACTTATTTTTAATTTATTTTTAATAAAAGTTGGTGTTTTGTTTAGAAGTAAGTATTGTGCATCGTCTTCTTAAGAAATGCACATTTTAATTTGGACTATAGTGTAGTAAAGGAGGCAAGAAGTTTGCACCACCTCTCCAGTAGGCTGCTGGAGGTTTTGTTGGAATGGCGGAGTGAGATACACAAACTTATTGTGGAGGTTTTGTTGGAATGGCGGAGTGAGATACACAAACTTATTGTGGAGGTTTTGTTGGAATGGCGGAGTGAGATACACAAACTTATTGTGGAGGTTTTGTTGGAATGGCGGAGTGAGATACACAAACTTATTGTGGAGGTTTTGTTGGAATGGCGGAGTGAGATACACAAACTTATTGTGGAGGTTTTGTTGGAATGGCGGAGTGAGATACACAAACTTATTGTGGAGGTTTTGTTGGAATGGCGGAGTGAGATACACAAATTTATTGACGGCTTCAAAGGTCAGAGAATGAACTTTAATTGAATGTATTTGCATACCGTAATGATATTATTATGTATAATATCATATTATATGCCAAAAAATACGATTTTAAAAAAGTGGCCATGAGAGCCTCGGCTGAGCTCGCCTAGTTTACATAATAATATGTCTTAGAAACTGACAAGCTGGTGATTTATCTACAGCACCGTTAAACAACGTGATGTTTCGAAATCATGAACTCAACAAGTTAGTCACAAAATACTTTATTTGCATACTTCATGTGTACACGTTATGCGTATAACTTATGCGCATACTATATGTGTATACTTTATAAGTGTAAATAAACATGTCTTGAACGCTTCTTTTGCATACATTTATGAGCCAATCACGTAATCTCATCTCTGGCAATGATAATCCTAACGTCTTGCAATGTCACCACAAAAAACAACTGACCAATGAATGCACAAAGATTCTTTTATATTTTTATACACAAGGCTCTACCTACTAATCTTTTATTTTTAAAAAAAAAAAGATAAGATATGAATTTGCCCATTAAACTTTAAATGCCCTAAAAAATGCTGAATTGACCCCTCACCCCCCCCCCACACCCTCTTTTTTTCCAACCCACCAGATAATGCTAGCTTAAAGATGGCTGCCTGCTGTAACCTATTCTTGGACCTATTTTTTTATTTATTTTTTCCATTGTGTGCCTGTGTGTGCGTGCGTTTAGGTGTGTTGTCTCGTGTGTACCGATTTCATTCAGGGTAGCACATTTAAAATGTCTTATGACGCACGAGACAGTTGGAAATGGCAATGATCCAATCAATAAGGCTTTGGCGTTACATTTTTTTTAACGGGGGTATACTAAGCATTTCATTCTTTAGATCAACTCTTTCTTGAATTAAGTCAATCTATTTTAAGTGAATCTAAGAATTAAGAGAAAAAACAAACAAGCAACAACAACGCCTCCATCAGTATCATTTCTAAAATGTGGTCATTTCCTTCAAGTGGTCATATTTCTTATTCCCGTCATTGTCTATTTTTTTTCCCCTCCATGACAAATCAAGTTCTCTAAAATGTGATATTTTGTGACTAACTTATTGATTCCGTAATGACATATCAAGTGTTTTAATGGTGACTTTTGCGACTAACTTATTGAGTTCGTCATGACGCAAAGGCATGACACTATCGTGTTAAACTGCATGGCTTCGTTCACCTACTTATGCTGACAGTCTCGAGATGTTCGTGCAAAGCTATCCAGACACAGAGATAAATAAAACCCTTTCTGTTATCTTAAGATGTACCTAATAAAGCAAGCAGTCTTTGAGCGGTAAATGAAGTATGTAATAGCCACAAAAAAAATCAAGGTTTTATAATTGTATAACATCCACAACACAACACATGTATAAACAGGGACAGCACACCGGATGTGTATAAACGGGGACAGCACACCGGATGTGCATAAACGAAGACCGTGTGAAATCTTTTTCTCCTTCAGTTTCTAGGAGTTTTTCTCCAAGGTCGTAAGCGGCCCCGGAAATTCGACTTTTTGCGTCGTCGTCGTCCCCCCCCCCCCCCCCCCCCCCCCCCCCCCCCCAATATGGTCTGAAAATCTCCAGTCAAGCTTGTTGAACTTCAGGAATGACACGCTATACAATTTATTAGTTTTCATTGAGCTGGCCTAAAGCATTTGATTTCCTCCATTCAGTTTACAGTCATGGATCACTTGGATGGCACAGGCCAGGAGAGAAGACATCTTAGCGCCACTGGTAAGACATTGTGTGACTTCTAAAGATGTGAGTTAAATCAATTTAGTTCGCACTGATTTTTAAGAGGTGCACCAATTAAGAGCCACGTATAGAGACTAGTCATGTATCTGTTGTGTCTAGTCTGTTGATGTGTTATAGGGTACGTGCAAATTTGTGTAAAACAGAGTAGCTTGCCCGTGGTTGTCACATATTTTTTCCAATGTGGTTTGGTTCCAAAATTCATATATGTTGTTTCTAAACTTGATTCTGGTAAGTTAAGTAGGTTTAATTAAGACAGACACAATAATATAGTTTAAAAAAATAAAATTTACATTTTTAGTATGAATGATTTCTTTCCTCCTAATTCACAATGACATCATCCCATCCACGTTTACTTAACCAAACCATGACAACCACAAATGATATGACAACCACAAATGTTATGACAACCACAAATGATATGACAACCACAAATGATATGACAACCACAAATGATATGACAACCACAAATGATATGACAACCACAAATGATATGACAACCACAAATGATATGACAACCACAAATGATATGACAACCACAAATGATATGACAACCACAAATGATATGACAACCACAAATGATATGACAACCACAAATGATATGACAACCACAAATGATATGACAACCACAAATGATATGACAACCACAAAAGATATGACAACCACAAATGATATGACAACCACAAATGATATGACAACCACAAATGATATGACATCCACAAATGATATGACAACCACACATGATATGACAACCACAAATGATATGACAACCACAAATGATATGACAACCACAAATGATATGACAACCACAAATCATATGACAACCACAAATCATATGACAACCAAAAATCATATGACAACCACAAATGATATGAAAGCGGCGAGGATATTATGCTTTTTTCTGTCCGGAATTTTTGTGTGTGTTGTGTCAAGCTATGCATGTCTAGTTTGTAGAAATGTTATGAGATAAACTGGGACGTACACTGTGAGCACATGCACACGTTATGGGTACGTGCGCCTGTGTTGAATATATTCATTTACAAGTTTATTTGGTTTCATAAATGTAAAACCTTTAGAAACTTTTAAAGGGCTTTTAAATATAGGCTCTGGCTTTCTATTTAAGGAAGGGCTCTAGCTTTCCATTTAGTGATATGGGCTCCAGCTTTCCATCTGGGGATGGGATCTGGCTTTTCATTTAGGGATGGTCTCTAGCTTTCCATCTAGGGATGGGCTCTGTCTTTCTATCTAGATTGGAAAAAATGTGAGGGTAGCAGTTTTAAAAAAAATGCTTGTACTCTGTTAATACAGATTTAAAAAAAAATCCAATTTTTCTTAAAATCACACATTTTACTATAATTCTGACCCTTTTGTTTTAGCTACAGTATATGTCCATGGATTCTCTCCCAGGAATTCAGATGTGTCACCGGAAGTCGCATTATTCCCACCTGGTAAAGTAAAAAGACTTAACTTAGTATGCTATCTTAACTTGTGGGAAAACAGTTTCCTGCGACATTTATACGTCTCCTCCTATGGGAAAAGAATTGCCCAAGATTTCTTAATGTCTTCTCTTCTTGGAAAATAGTTGCCTACTATCTCTTCATGTCTTCTCTTATGGGCTAACAGTTTCCTACGGTTTCTTAACGTCTCCTCTTATTGGAAAACAGTTGCCTACGATCTCTTCATACTCCCTCGTAATGGGCAAACAGTTGCCTACAATTTCTTCAAGTCTCCTCCTATGGGTAAACAGTTGCCTACAATTTCTTCAAGTCTCCTCCTATGGGCAAACAGTTGCCTACAATTTCTTCAAGTCTCCTCATATTTAGGCTCATTTCTTTTGAATGTCTAATGCATTTTATAATAAAAATCTAATTGATGTTTCGATTAGCATTTGTGTTTTTTAACTTTTCTTCCCATTTGTCCGTGTCACAAAAATAGGTTCTTATTACATTTTTAAAAAAATCTTTAATGCAACTGATTAGACGTCGTTTTAAGCCCATACATATTTCAATGCATTTCGCTTGTCTTATATTTGAACCATGTTCTTCATTTAGCCCGTCCAAGTGACCATATCAACATACTTGAAGGGGGACCCAGACTCCCGAGTGCCCACATCAACATACTTGAAGGGGGACCCAGACTCCCGAGTGCCCACATCAACATACTTGAAGGGGGACCCAGACTCCCGAGTGCCCACATCAACATACTTGAAGGGGGGCCCAGAGAGCACAGAACAACACGAATGACTTCGGCACCACTTGAACAACGACCGCCTTTGCACCAATTAAATGAACACCACCCACTAACATCAAATCAAGTAATCGTGAAGTCTCAGAGTTTGTCAATAGATTGTGGTATGTATAATTTGGAAAGTAATTAATTCAATATTTAGAAACAATTAAAAAATTGTAAGTCCAATAACAATATGTTAATTCTTGAGAAGAATTGTTGGGTTGTGCGTATGTGTATGTTTGTATAAATGTTTATGTTTGCAAATACGTGTATGGTTTATACACGCTTATGTTTGTATATAAGTATATGTGTAATTTGTAAATAAATAAATATATACATGTATACCGGTATATAAATAATTATATATTATTTATGTATGGTTGCATACATGTGTATGTTTGTGTATTTTGTATGTTTGTACAATGTCCATGTTTGTTAAGGGTTAAGAAATTGTCTACCGTAACTTAAATACAATTTCAAAAGTATTATTTTCTATATTTTTGGATTGTCGTTACCCACAATGCAGTGTGAACTATTCTCACAGGGTAGATTGTAAACTATATTATATGCAAGGAATTTTTTCCCCCAAAAAATTAATTAGATCTAATTACTAACCAATGTATTGAATTAATTTAAGTAATAAAGCTTTTTTTTATTTTAGGGGAGCCTACTGCACCAAGAATTTTTAGTCCGATCAGAGGAAGGGGGAAGAACCGATCTACCAAGAGTTCAGTGATTGGACATACTCAAAAGGTAGTGTGAATGTAATACTAACTTACTGTGATCCTTTTAAAATGTGATTGCAGTAATTTAAAGCTTGCTGATAGGGAACATGATGTATTGTTTCTGCCAAGCTATTTATCAGTTAATGGAACTGTATCTACAATAGTAACTATGTTAGGGAGAGTTTATCTGCATTACTGAAAATTGCTTTATGATTATCGATCTGTAGACTATTTTATTTATTGAAATCATTTTAAAAGGAATATTATAATTGGTTAAGTTATGTCTATATAAATATGGTTAATGATTGACAGAAGCCAATGCGAGGTCGACTGAAGCCAAGACATCATCAAGTCATACTACAAAACTACGAATATCTGAAGCTTGAAATCGACGCAAGGCACATTACGGGGCATATGGTTTCAAACTTCGCCATCAGCCTAGACGACAAGGAGGAGATCAACGCAAAGACAACACAGTCGGGCAGGACCGAGTGCTTCCTGGACAGGTTGTTGGTGTCGGGGCGCGGTCAGTCTTTTGACACATTCATGGACGCCTTGAGGCGTAATAACTACGTCAATGCCCACAGAAAGATAAGACAAGACTTACAAAAACTGGGACAGCCTTAAACAAAAAAGTGCTTACATTTAATAACATGGACACTTACGACCACGGTGACATAAGGATCGAAGATTTACAAGAATGTTTTTAATACTACCCTGTCCAAGTCTAGAATTAAAGCTTCCAGGAGATTGGCTCTAATTTAGACATGGGATATAACTTCATGATCCAGGTGTCTAAGAAAAATTAATTATCCATGTGTCTTGAAAAAATGTCATTACCGAGTAGTCTAAAAAAAACCAAAAGAACTTTATTATCCAGGTGTCTAAAACTTACTGATCAAGGTGTATTAAATAATATTCCTTTTCCAGGTGTCGAAAAATGTCTTTTGATGATTAGAAAATGTGGACACTAATAACACCTTATAAATTCAAGACATTTGGATACCTCACATATTTGTGGAACCTTGATTCCGCTGCATAAAGCAGCTCGCAAATTTTAACATATATTATGGATTTCACTCGCGCGTCCTGTCATTCGCGAGTTTTAGATCTTCCACTGATAATTATTGATTAATCATCAATTTTAAGGCATTTTCCCCAACGGATGCTATAATTAGAATTGTCTTTACTGACATCATTATCTTTTGTAAATGAAATGAAAGAACAAGGTATGGTAAACTTGAATAAATAGACAGGACAAATGATTTGGAAGTTTTGGCTTAGAGCCTTCATCAGCAAACAAAACATCTTTTGTAACCCTGTGTGTTCGATATATTCTAAGCGTTGTGTGCAAAGTTGAAACGTAAATCTATACGATTGAAGTAGTGCTCTCGTAAAATGATGTGAGACAAGGAACTAGTATTGTACAGCTTTATCCATCCCTGTAATAATGGCGCCCATCGCCAACAGCGATGTTAATACATCAAATTTGGTCGATAATGATATCATGTAATGATATGGGATGGGACGTAGGAAAAGTAATAATATATGTCAAGGCCAGTAGGCAGGGTGATTTTATGTTTGATGTGCAGTTGGCAAGGTGAGTTGATATTTGATAGGCGTTTGGAAGTGTGATCCGGTGTTCAATGGGCAGTAAGCATGGTGATCTGATATTCAAAGAGCAGCAGGAAAGGTATTCCGATGTTTGATAGGCATTTGAAAAGGAGATCTGACCTTCTTTATGGGCTGTAGGCAAGCTGACCTGATGTTTAATGGGCAGTAGGAAAGGTGATCTGATGTTTTAAGGGTAGAAGGCAACGTGATCTGATGTTTTATGGGCAGTAGGCAATTGATCTAATGTTTAATGAGCAGTGTGCAAATAGATCTGCTTCTTGGGGGACTTCTAGATGTGTGAGATACAATGGATACGAATGCTTGATGTGCTAATGGTCAGTGGGTTAGATTCTCTAATGAGTGATTGACATTTTGTACTCATGTTTTCCATAGCCAGAGGGAAATGTCTTCTCACTTTCATTTATTTTCTTTAGATTAGAGGTTTTCTTTTTTTTTTTTTTTTAATAAATCAACGAATAAAAACAGTTTTAAGTAAATAACATTTAAAATTTCGGAGAGACACATGTTGGAAGTCTGATGATCTCCATGTACCTGTTACCCATGTACCTGTTACCCGTGTACCTGTTACCCGTGTACCATGTTACCCGTGTATCTGTTACCCGTGTATCTGTTACCCGTGTACCTGTTACCCGTGTACCTGTTACCCATTTACCCGTGTACCCGTTAACCGTGTACCTGTTACTCGTGTACCTGTTACCCGTGTACCTGTTACCCGTGTACCTGTTACCCGTGTACCTGTTACCCGTGTACCTGTTACTCATGTATCTGTGTACCTGTTACCCGTGTACCCGTTAACCGTGTGCCTATTACCCGTGTACCTGTTAACCGTGTACCTGTTACTCGTGTACCTGTTACCCGTGTACCTGTTACCGGTGTACCTGTTACTCGTGTACCTGTTACCCATGTAATTTAATTAATTTTTCATCAGTTACAAGAGGGGTTCTTTTAATGATTTGGTCCAAAGATGATATAGAAGTCACCATTTTGTGTTGACTATGATAATATAGATACCACCATTTTGTGTTGACTATGATAATATAGAAGTCACCATTTTGTGTTGACTATGATAATATAGATACCACCATTTTGTGTTGACTATGATAATATAGATGTCACCATTTTGTGTTGACTATGATAATATAGATATCACCATTTGTGTTCTCGTTTACCAACAATAAAATCTACTGAAATAAATAGTTAATTTTGCATTGTGGTCACTTATTTATTTGTATTTTTAATAAAATATAACAAAAACAATACAGAGTTTTTAATTGGTCAATCTATTCCTATGCGAATGAACTATTTGTTATTGCATTAAAAACAGAGACGTTTAATTTTTAAAACGAGCAAAGTATGCATTTATGGTGGTTTGTTTTACTCATATTTCATTGTTCCAATGACATTGGTATTTATTTTTGTCAATGCATAGTCTACATTGCGGTCTCTAGCTCTGTCTCTATTTTTGTCTCTACCAGCGGCATGTGTAAGTTTAAGAAGAAAATTTAACAGGAATAAGATATATATATATATATATATATATATTTATATATATATATATATATATATATATATATAAATATATATATAAATATTTACAACATCCCCCACGTCCAAACCTTCGCGTGGACCCCGGAGCGCTGCTACGGGAGGGGGTGGGCGGTGGGCCATGGAAATCTAAGACGCTGGGATAGTTGGTATATTGCAGATTATGTGTAATGGGAGAGAATTCCAATATTTGGTGGCACAGAAAAAGGAAAGACCGTTCACCATATCTTTTAGAACGTGTTCTGGGAACAGAAAAAATGCGCTCGTCTGCGGAGGAACGAAGCTTTGGAAGGGGTGAATAGACAGGAAAGAATTCATTAAGATAGGAGGGGGCGGGTGACAGAGAAAAAGTTGTGACAGAGAACAGACAGCTTCTAATCAATGCGTGCCTGTATGGGGAGCCAATGAAGTGAGTGTAGTAGTGTATTGGTATGATCACGTTTCTTTGCCTTTAGAACTAGTCTAGCAGTTCAGCTTCAATTTAGCTGAGAGTCATCCAATAACCTGATATCACCAGTGCACTCATGCAAGGTGTGGATAGCAGAGTTGGCAAGAGAATAATGGGTACGCTCTTATAGCTGCATGTCATCTGCGGATGACTGGCTCTCAACAGCATGCCGCTAAAGCAGGAGGAGAAGTGGTCTGGTATACATTGGGAATAGGACGGGACCCAAAATGGACCCCTGTGGCACTCCGTACACCAAGACAGTACTACCGGAGAGACAGTCATCGACAGCGACCGCCTGCGTTCTATCGGAGAGGTTGGACCTAAACCAAGCCAAAACTGAACAAACCAAAGTAAATTATTTCAAGGGTTATATTCTTAGAATTATTTTCAATTAGAAAAATTTAAGTGGCAATAGCTAGGAAGAGAAATGTGTCAATTCTCCCAATGCGTAAAGTCGATGCTTGTTGGATGTTATTATCTTTTGAAGGAAAATAAAATATTGTTCATGGTCTACTGAACACCTTCCTTAGACTGCTTCACAACGCGGCAGGAAGTTGAGTCATGTAAAAATAGTTGGCTTTAAAATTTAGGGCTTAGAACTTGAGACACAAAAAAAAAAAAAAAAAAAAAAAAAAAAAAAAAAAAACAAAAAATTTAACACAAAAAAAAAAAAAATTCCATACATTTCGTCCCACAAAAGATAAATAATTTACTTTGGACCAAATTCAGCTTTGATACAATATATGTTTTGGAAATGAGGGCCAATCTGGTGATCTAACTGTAGTTCTTCTGTCGTCTGACGGTAGTTCTATGGACATCTGACGTTGAACGTAGCGTCACGTGATATCAGTTGTCTGTAAACTGACAGCGGGTTTATTTTCACATGACGGTGGGGCGCGTGAAAGGGGCGGTGAAGGGCTTCCTAAGGCTGGAGGAGATTGATTGAATTTACATTGAGTTCAGAGCAAAGATTTATATACGATTATCGTTGACTTTCTGGATTAAATTTGAATACAATTTTACCAAAAGAAAATTTTACCCTAACACTCCAATATTATTCAAAAACTCCAATTTTATTGAAACACTCCAATTTGATTGAAACACTCCAATTTTATTGAAACACTCCAATTTGATTGAAACACTCCAATTTTATTGAAACACTCCAATTTGATTGAAATACTCCAATTTTATTGAAACACTCCAATTTTATTAAAACACTCCAATTTTATTCAAGCACTCCAATGTTAAGCAAACACTCCAATTCTATTCAAACGATTCAATTTTATTCAAACACTCCCGTTTTACTTGAACACTCTAATCTTACTCAAAGTGATGACAAAGACACTAATGAAATTCGTGTCCAAGTTGTCACTGATTTTAACTAAGGTTTCACTAACATTACCCAGTTTAGTGTTTAATGTGCCCCCAAGGTTTCAGCCGTCTTCAAGCATCCCTGTCTAAGTGGCAGTTACTTGTGGCCTGTTGTTTCTCACTACCCTCTTTTTCTAGGAAAATATCTGTGTCTTATGTCAACCTGACGTCCCCCTGACGTTAACCTGACGTCCTCCTTCCGTCAACCTGACGTTTATTCAAACAAAATGATTTATGCAAACAACCCCCCCCCCCCCCAAACCAGGTTTGGTTTCATAGAGGAGTCACATGACGCAGGTCCTCGCTTTCGAGATTAACCTGACGTTCTCCTTCCGTCCACCTGACGTTTATTCAAACAAAATGATTTATGCAAACAACCCCCCCCCCCCAAACCAGGTTTGGTTTCATAGAGGAGTCACATGACGCAGGTCCTCGCTTTCGAGTATTGTGTCACTGTGTTCCTCGCTGGCAGCCCTTGATCCACGCGTGTGGTGTGCACAGTGATGTTGGTTTATTTATAGGAGGTACTTGACAGCATCGTGTGTCGCCGGTGAGTTTTGTGTTATGACTTCTCTTCTTGTACGTGTTTCCTCTGTTGACTTTCTTGTCCTCCACTGTTCATAGCATTTCAACAATGTGTATATAAATATGTACACGGTAAACCACATTCTTTGATGATTTACACTGCAGAGCAAATGTTTAAAAAAATAACTCTGTAGTAATCTCCTCCAACAAACCCAGTAAACTTGCCACGCAGAAAGGCTTGATGAATATCATTTCATTTCAAGCATGACGCACCAGTGATTTGTTAAATTCGTTTTAAAAACTCAAGTTCTGAAATGTATCTGAAATGACTAAATATCCATTTGGAGTTTGACCACATATGCCTTGTTGTGAGTTTGACCACATATGCCTTGTTGTGAGTTGACCACATATGCCTTGTTGTGAGTTTGACCACATATGCCTTGTTGTGAGTTGACCACATATGCCTTGTTGTGAGTTGACCACATATGCCTTACTGTGAGTTGACCACAAATGCCCTGTTATGATTTGACCACATTGTTGGTTTGGAGTCAAATCTTCTTAAGTGCATTATATCTTTCAAATTTAATTTCAATTAGGTCATAGCTCCAAAAAAGTTTTGAGTCGCGACCCCATTTTATAGAAAGAAAGTGACAACTGACTCCATTTTATTGAATAATATTGACCAGCGACCCCATTTAATAGAACGAAAGTGATCATGGACCCCATTTTAACCGAATTAACAAGCGATCCAATTTTACGCAATTTTGTAGAACGAGAGTAACCAGCGACGCAATTTTACTGAGGCAAAGTGACCCTCCACCCCGATAAAGATCTCGTTTTTAATGGGTAGTCGAAGAGAATTCGAAAGTACGCTTTTAAATTTCAAATTCTGATAACTCTTCTCAATTTTAGCAGTGGACAAACTTAAAACCAAAAGCCATGTTTGTCAACACGAGTCGCTAACAGGATGCAAACTGACTGCTCATTTCCCGTTACGCCTACATCATATGACATCACAGGCCGGCATTATGTAAATCACAATGGATTCTATTTTCCCTTTTCTTTTTCCATTTTTTTTGTTTTTAAATGAAGAAGCATTACAAAATCCACTCCGCCATTTATACGTAGACACCAATAGGAGTATTGTGAAAGTATTCAAACTTCACTAACCTGAAAAAAACTCTTTCCGGACCACATTTAGGGGTCGCCGCCCAACAATATGGGATCCACTAAATTAGACGACGTTAAACGTCGCGAAAGATTGAGAAGACCTGAGTTCAAATCCCAGTTCTGGCCCTAAGGAAATTGAAAATGTTAACTCGTACGTCGTGTTGTTGTTTTTGGGGGAGGGGGGTGTAGCATAATGGCTATAGCAGTGTTCAACACGAGATGTGTGGGTGTAGCATAATGGCTATAGCACAGTTCAACACGAGATGTGTGGGTGTAGCATAATGGCTATAGCACAGTTCAACACGAGATGTGTGGGTGTAGCATAATGGCTATAGCACAATTCAACACGAGATGTGTGGGTGTAGCATAATGGCTATAGCACAGTTCAACACGAGATGCTTGGGGGGGGGGTGGGGAGGCAGCCATGTTTAATCAATGTATACTGACATCGCGTGACTTCTATTATTACCGTACAAAATAGGATAAGGATATGTAAAACAAGGATTGCATAAAACGCAAGGAACAATGTACAACTTACGTTACAGAGGGGGTCGGGGAATGGACAACGAAGGTTTATATGCAATTTGAGAATTGGATTTCAATCTCAAAAATAATGTGTCAATTGCGATCCTTGCTACTGTCAAAATTAAAAACGAAAAATTCAGCCTAAATAAAACTGAAAAGGGTTACATATTTGCATGTCGTTTGCAAGAAACGATAATAAATCTAAGACATAAAAGTATTGAGACATCGTAAGTGAATTGTCAAATGGATACCAAAATAAAAGGTATTTTCGTTTGTTAAAAAAAGTGTTCCAACCAACGAATGTGCGCAAGGGGCAAGAGCATTCGAACAAATGTCGTGGGCATGTTAATATCAAACTGTCAACTATTTTGGGAAGAGACGTCCCTAGTCAAAGATCGGTTACACGAGAAGCGATCTGGAATTTCCACAGTTTAGACCTCGTCTCTGCCCAAGGTCATCACTCGTCAGTCTGTCTAAAAATAAGTCCAGGATGTATTTCATTTTAGGTTACAAAGGCTGAAAGAATATCTGAATCGCGACTCTTTTCTTAAGTTCCTTTTAAACCAGATAAATTTAATACGAGCTTTTTGTCAGAAGTAAGTCTTTCAAGTCAATAAACACGTCAGCTACAGTGTCGTATTAAGAATAGCTGAGATTCAAAGGCGTACGCCTCGAAAGGAGGAAGGGGACGATTAGGATATTATTGACGGTACCCGAGTTATCACCTTCTAGCCAAACTGTATTCCAGTACATTCCTCCGATCCAGTACACCCCACGGATTCAGTACATCCGACCGATCGTGTACATCCCATCGATCCAGTACAATCTCCAATCCAGTACATCTCCCCAGATCCAGTACATCTCCAAGATGCAGTACATCTCCCAGATCCAGTACATCTCCCAGATCCAGTACATCTCCCAGATCCAGTACATCTCCCTAGATCCAGTACATCTCCCAGATCCAGTACATCTCCCGGATTCAGTATATCACCTCAGATCCAGTTCACCCCCCATCCAGTTCACCCCCATCCAGTTCACCCCCCATCCAGTTCACCCCCATCCAGTTCAACCCACCGATCCTGAAGATCCCCCGAACCAGTACATTCCCCAATCCAGTTAAACCCCTCTCCCCCCCCCCCCATAGCATTTAGAACCGTAATCCGAGCATTTAGAACCGTAATCCGAGCATTTAGAACCGTAATCCGAGCATTTAGAACCGTAATCCGAGCATTTAGAACCGTAATCCGAGCATTTAGAACCGTAATCCGAGCATTTAGAACCGTAATCCGTAGTTCTTAACCTTCTTGGATGTACCCAACCCCACCAGTTTCATATGCGCATTCACCGAACCCTTCTTAATAGGACAAATAAAATATGGTGGGTTTTTTTCTGATTTTTTTTTACCTCCACCGAACCCCTGAGACTGACTCACCGAAGCCCTGGGGTTCGATCGAACCCAGGTTAAGAATCCCTGCCATAGTGGATAGTTTAAATCACGTGACCGATTCGGAAATCATGAGTTTTCCATCGTGGCTAATTATCCCCTGGGCTAGTGGATCTAAGTATTGCTATGCATCGAGTTTCAATGAGAATAACATGGATGTTCAGAGCCATGACTCACAAACATCTTACTTAATATATCAGCCAAAAAGCATGGCTCTGCGATGGAAAAGACAACATATTCTAAAGCCTTTCGCAAGACATTGCTGTTAAAATTCTATAGTTCTATAATTCTGTAGTTCTATAATTCTATACTTTTATACTTATGTCATTCTATAGTTCTTTACTTCTATATTTCTGTAATTCTATAGTTTTATCGTTTTGTAGGTCCGTGCTGCAATTAAGTTGTGTGTGTTTTGTTTTGTTTTTAAACATCTATTTCCTATTGTTACAACTTTGAGGATTTAAGAGAAAAAAATGATTGAATTAAGAAATTGAAAACAAAAAATGAATCTCATAAGTTTTTACAGAAACAACCCCACACCTTCCCCCCCCCCCCCACCCCCCCTGACCCAAGAACCCCATTACCTTAAATATTTAGTTTTCTAGACTCGAAGTGACTATATGTTTTTTTTAACGGCTGTCTGAATTTTTTGTATAAATAAACCACATTTTTATGAACAGTGGTTGGGGGGAGGGGGGGATTTGACATTCGGCCTTTCGGACCGTCTGGGAGGCACTGTCCAGAGTTATACTTCTATATATAGAAATGGACGGCCATGTGTAAAATATAAATAACATAGGTACTACACACTTGGAACAAGTTTTCTGGTATGCTGTTTCTAAGTATTTTGTAGTAAACCCTTAATAACCATTTTATTAACTCTTTAGTTAAAGGTTTTATTATTTTTATCCTTATTCATCCTCAATTATGCGAATCAGATATGTTTGGTTTTTTTCCGTTTGAGTGAAACTCCCATTAACCAGCAAACCCCCCCCNNNTTTTTTTTTTTTTTTTTTTTTAAGTGTGATATCCTCGGATGTTGAATGTGTGCCTCTGCCAATTTACATATTGAATATAAACTATAAAGAGTTTTAAAAAACCTGGATGAGAGCACCGATGCGTAGCGTTTGTTGGTCTGCAGCCAGCTTGGCATCACGAGAGGGCTTTCAACCAATGAATGCACTGTTTACTTGGTGCGTGGCTCGGGAATATACAAAATAAATGCCATGTTCTTGGCGGCCCCGCCAATAAAATGTCTGCGCCCGACTGGTTCAGAGGTAATTTTTGTTCTCTTCCCCCCCGCCCCCCCTTTTTTTTTACATTTCAGACTCTAGTGTCTCCAGTGCAATCCGCGAACAAGATGGCATCCAGCCTGGATGTAGACAGATTTTTCAAAGGTGAGACTGTGCTAGTGTGGTATGGTGATTATTTGTAGTCATATTCATAAATGCCGTTTGTTTTAAAACATTCACTGTAAACATGACATGACACTTCTACAGGGTTATGACAGTGGAATCATAACGTGGTAATTTAAGTGGCAAAAAGACACGCTTTTATTTACACTAGATTAGATTCTGGTGAAATGTCAGAAGTTGAGGTAAATGATCGTTTTTTCGTCTCCGTATTTTGTGATAGTCCAATCAGAAATTTTTGCTTGTGAATGTCTGTTTTTTTATTGTCAAATATTCAGGTGAACATTTAATTACGACCTTCATGGATCGGGATGGTTTTGAGTTGAGAGAAGTTTTTAATAGAAAATGCTGTCAGGGTTGTTGTTGTTGTTGTCATAATTGTTGTCATAGTTGTTGTAGTGTTTATTGTCGTAGTTGTCGACGTTGTTGGGGTCACAGTTGTCGTAGCTGTTGTTGTCATAGTTTTTATTGTCATAATTGTCGTAGCTTTTGTTGTCATAATTGTCGTAGTTTTTGTTGTCATAGTTGTCGTAGTTTTTGTTGTCATAATTGTCGTAGTTTTTGTTGTCGTAGTTGTTGTTGTCGTAGTTGTTGTTGTCGTAGTTGTTGTTGTCGTAGTTGTTGTTGTCGTAGTTGTTGTTGTCGTAGTTGTTATTGTCGCCGTTGTACTAGTTCTTGTTGTCGTAGTTCTTGTTGTCGTGGCTGTACTAGTTTTTTGTTGTCGTAGTTGTCGTAGATGGTGTTGTCTCAGTTGTTGTTGTCGCAGTTGGGGTTGTCGTAGTTGTTGAAGCAGTCGTCGTTGTTGTTAAAATGTGAGATAATATACAAACATTTCGTTTGTTGCACCAAACCAACCCAAACGACGTCGCTATAAAAGACCCCGATTTTTACACGATGATCAGATTGCCAATAAATATGTGACACCGTCGTAATGTAATTAAGTACAATCAATCTCGATTGATTCCCTCTAGCACAGTGTGACCGACAAGGTGGAGGGAACTCTAATGATCTGCCTTCTTTACGTGGTTATATTTCTTCTGGTCATGCTTCAATAAGTTATGAACAACATTTTAAAAGTCTTACACGAACACCACTTTGTATGACCGATCAATACGCCGACAATCATTTAATTCAGCGCCTCTCAACCTGTTGGGTCACGACCCCCACCATGTGAGTGGAACAACCTTTACACAGGGGATTCCTGTGTCCATCAAAAAACACATTTCTAAAGTAGCAACGAAAATAATTTTTTTATGGTTTGGGGGCTATCACAACATGAGTAACTGTATTAAAGGGTCGCGTCATTAGAAAGGTTGAGAACCTCTGATTTAATTGATCAGGCTTTAAAGATTTCAATTTACGTAATTCAGTTGTTAAATTGTACTGTCGGCCTATCACTCAAAAGTGAATAGGGCGTGTATTCGTCTAATGTTTGAAAATTGGCAAGTACTCGAATACGACCGCCGCACCTTCCCGAGTTGAGAGGACGAAATGGATTGAAAATGGAACGCCATCTGTTTTCAAACGCATTCAAATAAATGTGAAATCATGATGATTGATCACCCTGAAGAAAAAGCCAGTGATATTAAGATTTACTCTTTTTTATTTGTAATAGAATTACGCTAGGACGTTTTCGTGACAATAATAATTAATTTGCCATTTTAAAAGAGACCATTATTGTTAATTTGTTTTTTTTTAAACCTTTGTTTACTCAGGCAAGACTGAAGTCAATGAATCCTGGGAGTACTGTCCAAGCCTTGATACCAGATCATGTGAGAAGAACCCCGGCCATTTGAACTTCGTTCCCGTGCACGACATCAGCGTCCGCCATCTTCCCGAGACGTGCCGTGACCCGGAGATCATCGAAACCATCCACGCCATAGCGGCGCTGACAGTCAAGGTGACCGTCACCGACGTCAGTGAGCACCGACCCACGGCCCTCAACACCGTCGGGAATCGCGATCCTTCGACGGGATCAGGAGGCGTCCGGTTGCCAGGGGTAACGGGGAGCGGACGCGTGTGCTACGTGTCGCGCTGCGGGGACTTCACCGAGGACACCTGCCCTTGCCGGACGTGCAAGAGCTCCGCGACGCCCAGCAAGGCATGGGGCGAGATGCTGGTGTACACCGCCAGGCATCTCGTGTTTGACGACCTGGAAGCCAGCCACGCAACCTTCCGACTTTTCTTCGACACGCCCGACAGCCCCTCCGTCACGCTCGACGGCTTAGGGAAATGGCAGGCCGGCGAGGTCGAGGACGACATGTGCAAGGTGAAGTGTGTGACCTGCGACATGGAGGTCGTGAGGAACCTGGACGACAGGCTGAATCACTTCCGCACGCTTTACGCGCGGATCCAGGACAAGTATAAGGCGACCAGGAATGTCCACAGGCTGGCGGTGATAGTGTCCCACCCACACGGGTGCAGCAAGCAGGTGTCCGTGGGGAGGTGGGTCACGAAGCGTGGGGTGCGACAGAACGACAGCAGGTACGCGTACACAACGTGTACGTGCCCGGGGTGCAGTGGGGCATTTGTGTTCATACTGGGCAACGATGGGCGCTTGCTGTACAACCACGTGCACAGCGGGTGCAGTGACGATGCCATGACGGGCTACAGTGGCGTAGGGGCAGACTACTCGGCCAATGATAAAATAGAGGCCCTTGAAACGTCAGAGGTTATCGAAGAGATGCCTGAAAGAATCAGATAGAGTCAAAATTAAAGAGCCAAAATGTAAAAAAAATATTGGACCAATTTATAACTTTTTTTTTGTTCTTGGTGTGTTGTGGTGAACAAAAAAAACACAAAAACCTCTGAAACGTACATCATGAAATAAGTCAATGCTGTAAAGCTCACAATTTACAGGGTGCATGCTATGAACTCTAAGCTTGCAGGGATGTATGTTTTCAATTCTAGGCTTGGATGGATGTATGTTATCAACTCTAGGCTTGGATGGATGTATGTTATCAACTGTAGGCTTGGACTGATGTATGTTATCATCTAGATGGTCCATTGCTCTCATTGGTCTTTGAAAAAACCCTATTGTTTTTACCTTGAAATGTACTATACATTATTCTTCTTTGGCTCGCCAAGATGACAAAGGCAACTTCGACGTGGTAGATAGCCTTGACTTGAACTGCGTTGTTTTAAAGTGAGGGAGAGTTGCTCAACCGTTACCTGTTTGATCCAATGGCAAGACGCTGGAAATAATCCTGGACGCGGTAGATGTCATACCGCCTACGGGACTCTAGCTCCGGGTTTGATTTCAGAGTTTGCCTTCTGCTAGATGCGTCACCATGCAAGGTTATTGCGTCCCACTCATCTTGGTGCTCGTGATGTTTTTTTTTCTTTTTGCTGGGGATTGAACTCGAGCCCACGAGCTTGGGATTGGCTCAGCTTAGGCCACCCGGCCATGAAGATGGGCAATATTCATTTACACTGATAGTAAAAATTATATAGCATAACGCATACTATTGGATGGCTGACTAACTGATTTTTTTTGGAAGACCTAAGAGCTTTATCCGGAAACAGTAAACAAAAAGGAGCCTTAAGATGTGTGCGTGTGTTTATAATATTTTGTGTTACAAAATTTTTATTCACACCCCCACGTTATAGTGTAGATGTGGAATGTGGAGTTTGTGAGTTAACTTCAGTGAAACACAACTCAAGAGTGTTGATGGGCGCCTTAAGCGTTTGGCGACCCTGGCAACTCCCCGAGTTGTCGGCACCTTGAGCCTTTCCCTGATTAAAACACAAATCCAGCCCCTAGTAGGACACACATTCCCCCCCCCCAAAGGGGTCGCTACGCACAGGTAGAGAACCGCTGCTTTCAGTTAATACAGCAACAACACTGCAAGCTTTACCCTAGTAGGACACACATTCCCCCCCCCCCTCTCTCTCAAAAATCGATGATATTGAAAGCTATCAATAGATTGTGTTAACGTTTGTTGCCATTGTGTTTTACAGGAGACTGCTCGAGAACGATTGGGTGAAATGTGAGAATCTTATTTCTATGTTTATGGCTTCATGACAATAGGTCTCTACTTTGATGATTCCGCTTTCTTCAATGTAGAGAACTTTGCTATCTGTTTATGTATTACGGCATGTAAATAGTATTTACAGCATATACAAAGTCGTATTTACAGCATACACATAGTATTTACAGAATATACGATGTATTTCCAGCATACACATAGTATTTTACAGCAAATACATTATATCTACAGCACAACATAGTGTTTAAATCAAATAAATGATATTTACAGCAAGTACATAGTATTTAAAGCATATACACTGCATTTACCGCATAAACATAGTATTTACAGCATATACATTGTACTTACACCACATGCATAGTATTTAAAGCATATTCTTAATACTTACAGTATACACATATTATTTACAGCATATTTATAGTATTTTCAACATATACATAGTATTAACAACACACTCACGCTTGATTATTTATTGGTAGGCTGTCGCAATATTGTGTGTAGTCTATGTAGTAGAAATGCTCTTAACATTTTAATCTCACACATGTTGGCAATAGTTTACTGTGACCTGAGTTGTGTTTCTTACTGATATTAACATAAATTGCTGTAATAAAAAAAACCTACCCCTAATAAAATTGTTTTCGTATAAATCTTTTACATGCCCTTTTGTTTGCATTTATGTTATTGTAAGGGATTTTCTCATTAATTAAGAATCTGCTAGGTAAATGGGTAAAATTCTTTTTTTTTTTCATTTCCCCGATCAATGTACATTATATTGCTTTCCGAACAAAAAGTGTGAATACCCCAAAACGCTTTTCTGGTGTTTGCGGGGTGATGGGGCCGAAAATTTGGTGAAATGTGTCGTCAAAAGCAACCAGTCTATGTGCCAAGTTTCAGTTCGATAGGATGACGGGAAGTGGGTCAATAAGCCGTCCGAATGTTTTGCCTTAAACACAGAAACACACGAACAAGAACGAAGTTAATATAAAGGATTTCTTTTAAAAGTATATATATATATATATATATATATTATATATATATATTATATATATATTATATATATTTATATATATATATACAC